GGCTAAAGCAGACATTATGACTTGCGATTGTATGTAATCACAGTCATTGACTTCATGCACAGTCTGCTTCTCAAAAGAATGTTTCTTTGCTAGGTTTAAACCAACAAATCCTGAAACTTTGCAGGCTCCTATCACAAGGCTGTCAATGTGTATAGTTATAAGAAAGAGCGATCGCTGATTCAATAATAGCACTTGGTGTAGTAATACTAAAAAATTAAAACACATCAACTAATACATGGGAATTTGCACAATAGGTTACAATCTGGGCAGTGACATAAAATTTTATGCCTAATCATGTTTTTTGTCACTTTGCCTTTGCAGTTTGTGTTTGATCTGATGGTGTGTGGGAAAATGAGGGACAACCAGTGCATTGAGGAGTTTGTGCTGGTTTCACCAGCTCCTGTCGACACTGCTGCCAAGTTGTCCAAGAGTTTTGAGCTCCTTTCCTTCAAGGAAAAGGTAAGGTCAGAATATTACTTGTGGGGGAGATTCTTCCATTCCCAACTGAGAAGCTGGAGGTTTGCTTTGCCAAAGTTACACTTGTTACTTTGCAGCCTTGAGTACTGAATTGCTCAAATGCTGTTTTGTTTTCCCACAGGAAAGAGCAAAGGATCTGATGAATGCTGCCAAGTACTGTGAGGAGATGGCCACAGAACTCCTCGCTATTGCCTCTAGCAATAACAGTGCTGGCTCACTCCTACGCTCCATGGACTGCCGCAGCACGCCATTTCTCGACGTCCTGATTGAATGTGCACAGAAGGACGTGGTGGCCCATCCCGCGGTACAGAAGTATCTGACAGACGTGTGGATGGGAGCGATGAAGACATGGGCCAGCTGGAAGATCATGCTTCTGTTCTTAGGTTTTCTGATCTGTCCTCCTGTGTGGGTGGCGTTCTCCATCCCACTGGGCCACCGGTACAACAAAGTACCTGCAATCAAACTGATGAGCTACATAACGTCCCACTTCTTTCAGATTGGGTTATTCGTGATCATGATTGTAGCTCCTATATACCCGCTCGCCAATAACCTGAACAACCTGATGCCTAACTGGAACGAGTGGCTGTTATTAGCATGGATGTCGGGGAATCTGGTCTCAGAACTGACCAATCCAGGAGACAGACAAGGTCTAGGTTGGATCAAGATCATCATCATAGCAATCTGTGCAATAGCTGCATTCTGCCACCTTTTAGCATTAGCATTTACCGGAAACACCAGACTTGACTGTCTGTCAGTTCGAAACCAACTACTAGGATTTGCTTTACTCCTGAGTTTTGTGCAGTTTCTAGAGTTCCTGTCTTTCCACCACCTGTTTGGACCTTGGGCAATCATCATCAGAGACTTAATGAAAGACATGGTTCGCTTCTTGGTCATTCTGCTCATCTTCATGGCAGGTTTCACCCTCCATCTGGCTGCAGTTTACCAGCCGGTGTACGAAGTTAACACGGTCAGCCCCGGGGACGGGTCCATTGACCAGACATACACTATCCAAACTCCTGACAAAACATTTGAAATTCTATTCTTCTCATTGTTTGGGCTGATAGAACCTGATAATCTCCCAACACTGAGTACACGGCATCCATCGTTTACCCTGTTCTTTGTGAAGATGGTGTTTGGCACTTACATGATGGTTGCAATTATTGTACTGATCAACCTTCTCATCGCTATGATGTCTGACACATATCAGCGGATTCAGGCGCAGTCAGATATTGAGTGGAAATTTGGACGTGCAAAACTCATTCGCAACATGAACAAGACCTCATCAGCGCCGTCACCGTTGAACCTGATTACCAAGATGTTCTCTTACTTAAGGCTGGTCTACAAAGTCAAGTGTAAGTTGTGCAAAATTTCCTTTTACTTTTACAATGACCTGAGTGCTTGTGAGTGATCTCAAATGATTTTATCATCATGACAGTTTGCATTATATTCCTAATGTTACTGTGGTTGGGTGGTGTGACAATTTTTACCGGTGTGTTTTTCGCAGGCCGTCTCTGCAGCCCACAGATGCACGAGTACATGCAAGAAGATGACGACCAAGATGGCATCTCAGATGCACGGTCAGTTGACGTTCTGCAACACTCGGGAGGAGCAGGGTTTTTTCGTGGACTGAAGAAGCGGAGTACACAGGTTGGACCAGAAGGTACGAACACTAAAACTTGTCTCCAACATAACGTACAATGTACATTGTACTGTCTAACACGTTTCAGTTCAATCAAATCAAAATTTAATGCAATCATCATGATCAAACCTGTCTATGGTGAGCATTCAAGAAAATAGTCACAGTGTACACAGGAGACTACTGAAGGATTGGAAGTATGATAAAAAGTCTGACTCAATGTTTGATCGTATCTCCACAATCACCCTATTTCATGGCCTAGCGATATTTAGAGTACACTGATGCATCATTGTGCTGTACATCTTCTGGGTTTGTTTTTCTTAACTGTCTCCCTACTGCCTAATCCTATAACCAATACAAAACAGGTGCAAAGCCTTTTCGGGTCAGGGAAGGTCAAAATAGAATGTTACATTGTTCACTAAGAGTATGAACTTTATTTTCATAATTGTAAAATGTTGTTGCATGTTTGATACCATGTCTGTCCAGGACAAGCTGCTGCAAGTGGGGGAGGTAAGGAGTATAAACAGTGACAATCTCAGAAAGCCTTTGCTTCAGAGTATCTAGATTTCTAAAAAAAAAACGTTAGCTGTACACGTCAGACACTACAAGTTAGCTGTACAGACACTACAAAGTTAGCTTGTTGATCAATGCTTTTAATACATTGTAGGTGTGCGTGTTGTGTTTAATTCATTCTGAAGTAACTCATGCGTTGTATCAGAATGTTTTGACCAAGACTCCCCTACGACATAATTGTCATGAACATTCAAATCAAAATTTTTGTTTTCTCCTTGCTGAGATATTGTGAATAAGAGTCTTACCATCTCCATGCTTAGGATAATGTTGTTTATGATTTTCAGGACCGTACTTGGCCTCTGCTACCCACTCTGGACCACAGCGCATCGAGGATGTAGTTGACTGGGAGGAAGTTGTGAACAAGTACTTGGCAGCAAAGGGCGTATCTGACAGTGTGGAAAAAGAGTCGGATGGACCACGCCAACTGGACGAGCTCAACAACACCAACGAGAAAGCCTCTTCAGGGGTTGATGGGAAGAAGGACAAGTAGAGACATTTGTTTGGTGTTGTTTAAAGTACACATGTACAACAAGAAGCACTCAGTTGCAGCAAGACAGTGGTAAATGCCATTGTCAGAAGGGAAAGTTGTTCCATCTAGAAGGCAATTGTGATCTTCTCAATTGTGAAGGACTACCACACATTTCTTGCAGTGAAATGACAAAGAAATGTTGAAAAAGAATGATAGAGATTTACATTAAAATTTTGTGTGACGTAAAATGTTGCAGTGAAGGTCTATGTATCTAACATAGTTGTTATATAATAAACAGAGCTTGTAGTATATCAAGGAAACATATTTTATGGTGAAGGTATTTTTCTGCATGAGACTGTAATAATTTGTCATATATTTGCTCTAACATGTGCATCTTAATCTTGAGACTGGAACAAAGCAATACTTGTAATACTGAACCAAATACATGTAGTACTAATGTTACAACTTGATTGTAATCTACAACCTGTAAGGTTATGCATATTGACTACATGTACATGTATGTGTGGTCCTAACTGGTATAAAAACTGGCTCCTATCTAGTTAGCATTATATGATAACAAAGTTTTGAAACAAAGAATCAAAGGTATTTACAATGTACACTGTATTTTTGTACATCTGCTATGTTAAAGGCTAATCAAATAATATCATGATTTATTGACATATGTATCTCAAATGTAACTCACATACAGTGTACAGTTAACAGTAACCAAATGATGTTCATGAGATAATTTTGTACATATTAAGATAGTATAAACCTTTAACCGGGACTTCCAATTTTATTGTGGAGAATGTTGCAGTAAGGTACAGGTATGCTTAATATCTAAGACTTCCTTCAGAAGAAATATAGCAATGCATGATTGAGATCAAAGGGTATGCTGCTACATTTGCACCAAATTTCCTGTCACAGATAAACAATTTTACCAGTAGAATGAAAGCTCAACTGGAAGTGTAATTATCGTTAAACTTGTAGTTTATGCACTATGATTTTGTTCATTTTATTCTGTTTTGTGTGATGACATTTCACTCTCCTTGAATAAGTAGAAGCATTATGTTAATGTTTATGCAAGGATGATTGGTCTGAAACTCTAGATACACAGTAGTACATGACTTGTTTGATGGGAAATGTTTTAGAGGGGGAGGGGTTTAAATTGACATGAACTAAAATTTTATTTATTGATTTGTCGCAAAACAAACTGAATTAAAACCAATTTAATGCACAAAAATCTACCTGTAAAAGAAGTTAGGTTGAAATCTTCAGCTGCAGCTTTAAAATTCCAGCTAACATTCCAGGTAACAGACAATATTTAAACAATAGATAATCATATCTCAAGACATGGACAACTTCTAATGTATGAACTCTATAGGCTAAGTGCAAGATTTAGCATATTTGTATGAATTATCCAGTGTAGGTATTCCCTATGATAATTTGGTAGGCTCTTTTCTATTCTATCCAATTGGTCAACTTGCTTTGTCAGGCCCATAGTCCAAGTCAGTTTTTTATTGATTCTGCTAACAATGTCGACTTGCATGTTACAATGCAGATTAATTTTAGAGAAAACATCATGCAGAAATGCATGTACAAAATGTATTGTTATCTGTATTGTTATCAAAATAAAGTTACAGTAATGTTTCGAAACTGGGGCATTTTCTGCCAATACATGGATGTAACCAAATTGTGGGAAATTCAATGTGAAAGCATATCAAGATGTTGGGGATAAATTTTTATAAATGTCAAGTCTTACATGTATAATTATGGGTTCACCACACCACGAAGTGGTGTGGTGAAACCATATTGCTTTTTCTGATGTTTCTTCTTCTCCTCCTCCTCCTCCTGCCATATCTTTAAATGGATTCAGCTTCTTCATTTTAGGGCCTAAGGTCCTGAAATTTGGTATGGAGGTACAGTGGGCAAATACCCCTAGGCGTTTTTTAAATTATTGTGATACAGGCTTTTAGAATGGTTTTATTTGAGTTTTTTGGCTGTGTTATAGCAAATGTATTACTG